TTCCCCAGGACAAACAGGGCGGGCAGCCACAAGTAAATAGGGAAGAACGATGGGGGGTGGCAGATGACAGAACAAGGAGGAACAGACTGAAGTTGCAGCAAGTGAAGTTTAGTTGAGATATTAGGAAGAATTTTCTCCCTAGGAGGGTCATAAAACACTGGAACAGGTTACCCAAAAGGATGGTGGAAGCTCCATCCTTGGAAGCTTTCAAGACCTGGCTAGACAAAGCTTTAGCTGGGATGATTTAGTTGGGGCAGGTCCTGCTTTGAGCAGGAGGTTGGACTAGATCAGCATTTCTCAACCGGTGTGCCGCGAGGCACGTCTAAGTGTGCTGCGGATTTTTGGGCTGGAGTCACGCCCCCCGCTGCCTGGAGTCACAGACAGAGAGACAGGGGGGGGGGCATGGCTCCAGCCAGTGATTTGCATCCGCCCACTGTGTTCAGCTGTGCTGCCTCCCCTCCTCACTCTGCATTTGGCTGGTGTGCTGCGGGATGGGAGAGGCCCGGTAAGTGTGGTACTGGAACCAAAACGTTGTGAAACACTGGACTAGATGACCTCCTGAGCATCCTTCCAACCCTAACTTTCTATGATTCTAGGATAGCGGTTTGTCAACCAGGGGTATGCGTACCCCTGGGGGTACTTGGGACGGCCCCAAGGGGCGCACACAGCGGTGTGGGGAAGTGGCACATGGCTGTGGTGTGGAGTGGTGAATGGCAGAGGCAGCTGCTGCATGCGAGCTCCCCTCTCCCCACCACTGCGCTGCCGCCACCTCCCCACCACTGCCATTCACCACTCTGCACCGCTGCTGTTTCCCTGTGCTGCCGGCTTCACACCCTGCCAGCAGTTAGCCCTCCCCTCCCCCCATATGGAAAGGGGTACACTTCAGAAGGTGTACCCACCAGAAGGGGTACACGCCTTAAAAAAAGGTTGAAAACCCTTGTTCTAGGACACGTTAAACTTACCTGTTTAGGCATTTTTAGGTTGCACATCATTGTGGTTATGTGAATTAGTGTTCTACACAGAAAGAATATTATACGTGGTACCAAAAGAGTGACATCCTAATTTCTGAAAACAACACACAATTTTTCTAAGTAGGGTTTTTGGGCTGGCCACAATCTTTCTTTCTTGTATCCCTAAGCAAAGATTGCAAAATGGAAGTATCGAGAGAACAGTATGAGTCAACACAACACGATTCAGGGAAATGTGCTAACAAAGTGGTACAGAAGTACTGTAATGGAGATATTTCCATTAACAGTAAGAGTTTTATGCACTAAAATACATACGCTCATAAACAAGCAGAGACACAAGGAAGGCCAATGTGGAAACCCCATTTGGGTAGTAATTCATGGAAATCTTTTTAACAGTGGTTTCCTCCATATAAGGGTCCCAGAAAAGTCAGTTTTCTAAACCTGCTGCTGCTAAAGGGGAACATTTGTGAAAGGGAATCTTAAAACTAGCAGCAATTATTACTTTAACAAATGAACACCAATGTGGCTTTTTTCCCCCCTGTTATTCTGGTTTATGACGAACATTACAGGCCAACGAGGAGGAAAAGCAGCTGTGTCCTACCAAGGAAAAACATAAACAAGAACTTCTAAATGACACTGAAACCAGGGAATTTTAGGAATTGAGCAAAACCACATCCACACATTCATGCTGCTCCCATTGCTCAAAACCCTCACTGCAGTCCCTGGGGCAGACCTGGCAGAGCTAACTGCACGGAAAGCTCAGATCGGTGCAGTGCTTATGCCACAAACACAAACCATCTGAAAATACTTGTCACCTTTTCGACAGCAGGTATGAACGACTGCGGGACGTTTGTTCCCATGGTTTGGTCTTTGAACTCCAGCTTGGTGTAGTTCTCCGGCTCCAGAGGCTCCAGGACCCCAATCACCTTCCCGTACTGCCCAGCCCCACCCGACTGTTTCTTGTGGGTGTATTCAAACCTGGGAAAAAGCAGAAAGCACAGTTATGCCCTGGCTCAAGCGCAACCCAGTGAGCTGCTAACCCTGCTCTCTGCAGGTGGCGGGTCTCTCAGGAGCCTGCCGGGTCCTGCGCCCCGCCCCGCCCCGCCCCGCCCCGCCCCGCGGGATCCGCGCACAAACGCAGCAGAGGAAGCCCCAGCCCCCGGGAACACACCTGCCGCGGGGCAGAAGGGCAACAGCGGCGCAGGCCGCGGGGGGGGGGGGGGGGG